GTGTGTGTGAGAATGTGTGTGAGAGTTAGCTGCTTTGACTGATGTGTTGCTCACACACCAAACGGCTGCTTTGTTGTGATTATGCAGATTGACTATGCGTAGCACCATTCAATCACACTGTGGAGCCATATGGTAACTGCTTGTGAGTGTGTGTGTGTGTGTGTGTGTGTGTGGGTGTGAGATAGGTGGAACTGGGAGCTGTATATGGTGGAATTTCCCCTGCTTAAGGCCGTGTACCTTCTTTAATAGCTAGTCTCCTTGCCTGTGTCTTGTTTCTGAACCTGTCCAGCTAAACGGGCTCAGGCATAATTCCAGTGGTGGAATGTAATCAAGGACATTTACTAAACTACTGTATTCACAAAATTTAATTTTACTCGCAGAGTAAATCTCTGCCTTCTGAGAAAAAGCTGAATGAGCCCTATGTGAATGACGCTCCTGCTCTGATACACATAAGAAGAACAGTGGTGACAAGTGGCCATCCTAAAATGTAATATCTCTGTTGTATATCTGAATGTATATTGTAATTGTCATAGTTTTAATAGATAATAATAATAATAATTTCAAAATGCAATATAATCATTGTTATAATGTACTATAAAACGATTATAATCTATAATAGCTATGACAATTATAATACACTATGTGCCTTGTAAAAAAAAGTCAGTTAGTGACTAGCAATTGTGAAGTATTATGATTCTTGACCATGTAAGTCATTTTAAAATGCTCTATAATGTTATGATTATTGTTATAAAGCATTCTGAATATTTATGAGTGTTCATAACTATAATTATACATTTCTATAAGCACAGTACAATGCATTATAAGTATATTTATAATGCATTCTAATGCATTACAGACATGAGCATAATTATGTAATATGATTAGTCTTATAGAGTTTTATGAGTGCTTCTAACTAATGTATAATAATACATTGATAAAAGCACAGAATAACACATTATAAATATGTTCAAATATGGGATTATTACAGAGATTTTAGTATATTGTTAAGTCTACTGCTAACTGAAAACACAAGCAAATACGGAAACCTTGCGAGTTGCACAGAGAAAATGGAACTAAGTTACCAAACAAAGTTTCCCAGGGGACACTAAAAACACACATTCGGGCATGCCAGTTGTTGCCATGGTTGTGGCTAATGACTTAGCTTGACACAGACTATGTTGGCCTGTGCACCACATGCACATGATTTGGACAATACAGCAGATACAGTATATGTATCCAAATCATCAAAGTGTGAAGTGTTAAAACTCAGTTAAACGTACACCTTGAAGGAGATGTTAATATAACTATTTACAAGAACTTCTTTGTCCTAAGTGCTGTATAAGTAATAATTGATCGTAGGATTTGGTATATAGGATACAGAGTGGTGCTCTTGACTTTTTTGCACAGTAGATTCATGTGATATTGTGTATAGTGTAGACTTGTGTATTGTGAGTTGTATTTTTGTGAATGTTTTTATGTTTTTTTTTGTCTTATGGTGAAACCTAAGACAAATTTCAATATTGTGGACAATCAAGTTTTTGTGTTTGTCATCGTTATGTACTTGCAGCATGTGTCTGTATTTGCTCTCGTTTGAAGACACCGCCTTAAGCTAGAAACAGAATTAAAAAAACAGAACACCAGGATAACAGTAATCAAGGAGGTTAGGGGTTAAAGTAACATTCCCAATACTATGTGTCTGGAATGTGTTGAATATAAATATAGTGTGTAAAACAGTAAAACAGTATGAACATATGACTCAGATGTGCAGAATAACATATTAATATCTATATCTACAAATGTAACATACAGATGCTGACACAACAAACTTGACTTTTTCTTTCAGTGTTTTCCCTGAAACAACAGTGGAGATCAGCAGTTTGGCTCAGGTCTGCTGTGCCTTTGGTAGCTGCCTGGCAAATGGTGCACAGCTGAATGGATCAATTAGATAAAAGATTGAAATGAAGTTTTGTGTGGACATTGGCCTCTGAGAGGCTCTATGCTGCCCTGATGCTTTGTTCTGTGTGAGGGCCATGAAAAACGATTTGGGGCGGCTTTGTGAGACGGGGGAGCCTCTCTTTAAAACACTGGCAGTGGTGATAATGGAGCAGGCAGCCAAAGACAGGCAAACACACACATATACGCTCCAACTCCCTGACAGGCAGAAGGCAAATTAAGTTTTCTGTTCACTGGTTTGACCAACTAAATGAATATATGAAGCCAGTCCTGCTATTACAAGTGAAGTTGAGCTCAGCTGTTATTAACTCGGTGGTATGTGCTATGTAGATTGTATATCACATAGTAATATACTGTATATGGTGTGTCATTATTTTCAGATACGTTGGAGTAAAACAGGGTTCTGTTGGCAAAAGTGTGTCAGAAATCTTCTTGCTCAAAGTCAATTTTTTTCTTTCCCATATACAAATTAAGATGCTGTTGACTCTTGTAACAACACTTTTTTTGGAAAACTTGACGTGCTTTTGAAAAACGACCCGCTTTATCAGCCTAGCTCTTAACCTTACGCCAAACGACGCAATACATAGTCAACATGATATTTTACTTGCTTACTTACTTAATAGACTTGCTATGCTAATAGTTGTTTGCTGCTATAAAAAGGTTTTAAATCCCATATATATAAGTGATATGTGTGACAGTTGATAAGCTCTGCATTACTGTCCTAGTTTTCTATGATATTTTGTATGGTGTTCTGTGTAACATCTATAGACAGGGAAGTGTCCGTGTGGAGCTTTCTCTGCTAGGAAGGTTTGGACAGGATTTCTCTTCATTTGCTTCTATTCATTTGTTCACTTCAGAATCAGAATCAGAAATACTTTAATAATCCCCGTGGGGAAATTACTTGAAAGGTGGGTACAAGAAACAGGAAAAACAACTTGCAATGATGTGGCTTAAGTACTTTAACATGGCACAATACAGTGTTTTTAAAGGTCACATACCAGGAGCACAACAGGAATGGGTCAGTCTTTACAACAGTGCCTGGGAGGTGCCTCAGAGGAACTTTTGATATCATATTATAAATTATTCCATAAATCCTGATTGAGCTTACGGTGCTACTTGTTCTCAGGTTAGAGGAATAACAGAAACACCTGTTGTTGCTCAGAGTTTCCACAGTGTGCTGCCAGCTCTCTCCCCTCCCTGTTTCTTCCATCCTGTTTCCCTCTCTCTGTTTCTCTGCTGTTTGTGCTCCTCCATCCCTGTTACCACAAAGTGACAGTAGCTGCATGTCTCATTTCCTCTGGGAGCTCAGCCTTTGGCCCCCATCTGTGCATGTGTGTGTGTTGTGGCTGATCTTATGTATCCCATTAGAATGGTAATATTGTGGTCTGATGTAATCACTGTTGTGGTGAGCGAGCAATAGCAGCTACTAGCCCACAGCTGTGTGTGTTTGTTTCTGCTGTGTCCCATGTGGATGAGACACACAATAGATGGTCAAGTCAATACAAGTCTATACAAGTTACTTAAAGTTGCCTCAAATGTTATTACTAATAACAGCACACAACAATTAAGAAATGGATTTCTTTTCATGTACTACATATACATTCTTAATAAACTTAACTACATTTTGATTACCACTTTTTCACTTTTCAATATTCAGTGAATTGAAATCATCTTAAGTATAACAAGGATCCTCAGGATGTGTCAGCTCCATCAGTCTGTAAAAACAAGCTTTCACCTTACAAACACCTTCAATGGAATTATCAGGGGAATTTCTGCCTACATGTAATTATGTAAGTGGCCACAATGTTGCTTTTCTCACAGCATTTGCAGTAGCGGCATTATTGAGTGTGTATAAACATCACAAAAAATTCCTTAAAGTGTAACTACACCCTCCAATTCTGCTAGTCCCTCCCTCTCAGCAAAGGCAAA